CGCAACCACATAACTCGTTGATTGCTTGATGCAGCTTGCGAAAATAACGAAGAAAGGGTGCTAGCAGCAACACTCGACATCAGACTCAGTCCAACGTCTGCAAAAAGTCCGACCCGAGACGAATCTCCAAAACCTCATCCGAGGAAGCAGTTGGAACATCCCTCAGCGCCACAGTGTCTAGAGCCATGTTTAGAGCCATGTTTTCCTGCTGTACAGTAACTACCGGAACACCGCACTCACCTCGGCTCTCAGATCTCGACTCCTCTGGGGGAGCTGGCACGTCTGCAGCACTCTGAAGGACCAAGTGCGGAGTCCAAGGTGCCACTGTGCCCAAGCTGGACTCACTGCGGTCTGCCTCGTTCTGTGCCCCATCTGATCCACCGGGGTACTGTCTGTGGCCACTGGATTCCATATCGCATCGGGAGCTGTGTCTGCCGTATTTGCAATAGCTGCAGCAGGTATGGTAGCCATTTCCCGCCATCCGATTGCAAGTTGGGCTACAGCAGACTCTGTCCCGCCTTCTAGGCGCCAGGCCGTTGCGCAGCAGCGCACGCTGCAGCCTCTCGCAGCGTCTGCCGTGCATGGTCCCGTTGGACCCAGCACAGACCGAGCAGCAGTGCCGATGGCGCGACATTGGAAACAATGCTCCGCAAAAACATCTCTGAAGCTGAGCATCTCCCCTGCTTTGAGGCACCATACCAGGCTCCGCTGACGACGCCTCAGGCACCGGAAACGCCGATGACTCCCGGCGAGATCGTCTCGACATGGACCTCGGCAATTTCGCCAGGTTGTGACATTCTAATAGGGGGAGGGGCTTAACAGGTCCTACAAGGGGCAAAATGCATGCAGCAGCATCGGCACTCTGTTTTTGGCGCACTGGTTGCTGCACTGCACACAAGGCCCCTGGCCCTAGATGAGACGCGCGCCGTACTTACGCAGCCCAGCGCACAAAGTCACAAAGGCCCCCCGCTGGTTTGCAGGACAGGTGGTGTATCTCCCCAACCCCAACCGCCTACAGGAAACCCAAAACTAGCCTAACATCAGCATGAGCTTCAGCACGACGGCAACTGGAACCCTAGCTCCAACAGAGCTCCGCGCTCCTCTGGTGAGAGAAACCTATACTGACCGATGGAGAAAGCTGCAAGCACCACCCTGTCACCATCCGTCCATGGCCGTACACTGTGCAGGGCGGTTGCGGCTGGAAACAGCAAACAGCACATGCTGGTGGAATAAACATCTCCCGGCAAAAGGTGCTCGCCAAACTCCTCAAAGTCCTTGCCACCCTCATTCTGGACCCAGAGCTGTCCACCAGCGTAGTGACTCAGACCCACAAAAAGTGTAGGCATACGCGCATTCTGCCCATCAACGTGCGGCCCAACCTGACTGTTTAGAGAAACAACCAGGCTTGTCCATTGATGTTCAGGGTGCAGCTTGCGAACTAGGCCATTGAGCAGTGCACAGACGGATCGGTGCGTAGCCGTCATTTGCGTCAGACCACAGAAAGAGTGATGCCCATAAGCTCCCAGCCGAACCACGCGCTGAAAAGAGTCGGTGCTCAGGCGTCGCTCTGCCTTGAAGTTGAGATGAGAAGCTACAAGCCGAGCAGCACCCCAGAGCGAGCCAGCATTTTCAAGCAAGAGCCGCGAAGCCAACTTATTCGCCTGGCTGCCCTGACACTGGTCTGCTTCCACTGGGGGTGGCAAACTAGCACCAGGCACTCCAGAGTCGAAAAGCCGTCAGGAGCAGACACTCCTCCAGAGCCTCTTGAAACAACTGTGCAGGGATCGGCACACGCACAACGGCACAGCCCTGTGCAGCCATGCCTTTGGTGCACCGCTATTGCACACTCAGAGGCCGTGCTGAACTTGAGAAAATGGAACATTAACACAGCGACAGCTTGCAGACCGGCGCAACAGGTGTGGGCACAACAGATGTGTAGTGAAAAAGCACAGGCGGGCAAGAGACACGATTGCAAAAGCTGAGGTCGTGGCCAGCAGCTGAATCCTAGCCCTCAACAAGGGCTACGTGGAAAGGCAGTGGCAACTAGGCTGCTTCGACCCACAAAACTATAGAGGCAATGAAGTCATGCACGGTTGGTGGCGGACACTGCTCGCGCACTGACTGTCATGCCATGGAACATTAACGAACTGTACAGTGCAAGAAAAGCAAGCGCATGCAGCGAACAAGTCGAAGTGGGATTTTGCACGTGCCGGCACCCAGCTTCGACTGATGGTACCTGTACTACCCCTGGCTCTCATCATGGCTGCCCTGGGTCATAGACCAGCCCAAAAAGGTAGCAGTTGCGCTCAAGCATATTGGCATCGCGAGCTGCAAGGAGCCTAGGCCTACAATTATCATTGAGGACCCAGCCCTGCCATGATGTGAGTGCTTCGGCCCCTACATCCGCATTGGGTTTGCGCACCACTGCCTGATAGTGTCCGGTTTCAGCATGCAGTCCAACATGACACAGCACCCAGACTATGCGAAAGTACTCAAAGCGGATCTGTGTCCCCATAGAATCACTAAAGGCGGGCACGGCGACTCGTTCCCCCGGCTGCCACCTGACAACCGACTGGTCTTTGACAGGCCCAGACCCCTCATGCCTGTACCTCTTAACAGAACAACGCCTGAGTGATGACACAGCGCATGTATAGTGTGTTGCTCATGCCACTTTATGAGGAGATCCGGGATTGTCTCGCCTGCCAGATCAAGAAGGACAGGCGCCGCGAGATCACCTGCATCCACAACTGCATCAGGACCTGTGAGCCTTGCCTGCCACTCACCAGCATATGCGGCTGGCTTTGTTTGACGGAGCAGATGCAGCATGAACTGACAGGCATCGTGCTGCCTGTTGACATCTTGCCAGCCCCCCAGAATCACATGCCATGCAAGACTCTGTGGAAGCGTGGGCTTACCTGGAGCAAGAACCGGCCTGATGGCCGCCTTCGCTGTACCGTAACAGCAAGCAGCACGATCAACCAGCTGGCCTGTCCACGCAAACACCTGTGCACAAGCGTTGAGGTAGCAAAGGTTACTGGGATTCTGCAGACGACCCTGCGGGACACAGAGATATGACTGCAGCTGCAAGCGAACCGCCATGGCGTACCTCAGGTGGCTGGCGCGCTGCTCTCCTGGGCTCGATCCTCCCGCGGCCATTTGGGCTGCTGACGCGGCCAGTTGCGATCTCGAGGCTTCCAGTCTGCAAACGTGAGGCCCGTGTACGAGTCTTCCAGGGCTTTCGCCAAGGTGGACTGCTGTCCCCGGTCCGGGCGAACTCTTAGGCCCGCCACCTTCAGACATGCACTCCCTGCCAGAATGCCCAGTGCCTGATGAACCTGCATCGCCAGCTGACCACGTAGAGACAACACCAGAGCAAACGGCAGCACCTCGCTCGTGATCTTCTCTGTCAGGGGTCTCGTCGAGCGGAACCGCAGCAACACCCCAGGGACCCCCACAATGTTGATCACCGCCTGGACCGCATCGGGTGCCAGGGAGTGGGGAATGGGCGCCTGAGGGGAGGTCTCCACAGCCTGCTTCTCGTGCGACCACTGTTGGTAGATCCACTTGGGATTCAAGGCCTGCTCGCCCTGCATCAGCCAGCCGACCGTGTGCATCTTGGTGAGGCGTTCCTGATCTTGAAGCAGGGCTTGTAGACGCGAGGCCAGCTCCTGAAAGACACCAATCAGAAGAACTGTTCGGAGGCTGCTGGTGACCTTCTTTTCCTGGTAGAGCTCCTGCCACTTCGCCGCCTTTTCCTGGATGAGAGAGAGCACTCCTTGCTCGTGGGTGTCCACGAACATCATCCAGGTCGTGTCTTGGCGCAGTAGCCGCATCTCTGACTCGTGCCTCATGAGCATCTTGGCCACGTTGCGCAGGAACTCCTGCTCCTGCTCCCCGAGTGGAGCCGGCTCGTAACTCCACGGATCCTTGGAGTCGTGCCACGCGCCGCCACGGTAACTGCCCTTGCCGTAGTTCTGTCCTTTCGAGGCTGGGCGATTCCATTTGGGCTTCCGGCCATCCTGGTTCTCCAGCTCCTGTGTCGGCTCTCGCCGGTTCGGCTCCAACGGAGCTGTGCTGGGTGCCCCAAAGACTTCCGCCGCCTCTCGCCGGGCCTGCTCCGCCATCTCCTGATCGCCCTGCTCCATGATCCTGCGCCAGCAAGACAGAAGCAAGAGATGCCTGGAACACCGCCATGCAACGTGCAAGATGCGTGCGCGGCTCGTGGGTGCACAGTCCGCAGTAGCGACAGGGGGAGTCAGCAATCAGACCCAGGCTTGAACACTGAGACACTGCCTCTTGCTTATACTGCCAGGCCGTCGCATGAGCAAGCCGCAAATGCTGCTTGATGCCCCCTGCATTGGAAGCCCACTGCCCACATATGATGCAATGCAGACGTAGAGAATGCAAAAAGACTTTGTGTCGCAGCGCAGATCGCCATCCTGAACGAATCAGGGTGCAGAACTCACTTGAGTCCAGCAATGGTGGGTGTGCCACATCTGCCTGAGGAGCCCGGTGCGAACACCCCAGCAGCTCCTCATGCCCGGAGGGTACCTCCCCTCGCTCGACACTGGCTTCCGCGGCTTCTGGCTCGCTTTGTTGGTACTTTACTCTACACGATCCACGCAGATGTTTTTGGAGTCCCTCGACACGTGTGAACTTTTTGCGACAGTAACGACATTGTGGCATTCCATCCACCGCCTGCGCTACATACTCTCTGGGGGTAGGCTTAGGGGCACGTGAGCGGCCATGTTTCCAGGCCTGATGTGACCGTAGAAGCCGCATGTCCGGAAAATAAACGCCACAGGTGTGACAAGCCACAGGCTCGCAGTCCAGAACCTCTATCAGACCCCCAGCCGACGGTTGTAGCAGTTGTGCTTGTAACCCGGTCAACTGTTGGCGCTGTCGCTCGAACCCTTCACGACTCTCCTCTCTTTGGCAAGACCTGGACCTACCTGCCAGCAGCGCTTGAAAGACGTCTGCTGGAGACTTCAGCTGCAATCGGCGTCGCAATGCAGCTGTACTTTCTCGCGTAACATGCGACGGGCTTTTAGCAAGAGCTCGCAAGTATCTAGCGTCCTTGTTGTCCAGGAGCCTCAGGACACCAGTTGTGTAGCCTACCGCATGCTGTCCATAGAACATAGAGCTCCTGACGCATGCCGCGTAAAGCACAGCACGAGTGCGCAGACAGATGCCCGACGTGTGCAGCACCTTCAGCAGCCTTTGTCTGATTCCAGCAGCTAATCGCATGCGGTGCCTACAGGTACGGAGTGCATAATTGTCCAACGAAACCTCAATACCCAAGTACACAGTGCTGCACACATGCGGGATGTCAATGGGCATTGCAGGTACCAAGCCGAATTACATAGCCTTGTGGTGTGCGCTGCCGCGCTCTCTGCAACCAACGTTTAGCTATTCCACCTCTGAGCGAGAGAATAAGCTTGGATTTGGAGGCATTCACCCGCATACCCAGTTCAGCAAACAGCTCAAACGTGACCCTGACACATTTGCAGAGAAAGCGAAGATCAGCCTCAGACTGGATGTGCCATTGCAGCAGGGTGTCATCTGCGAATAGAGTAACAAACTTTGCCGCCCACGATGGGTCCGTGCGAGCCTGTAGTTCTTCGTAGAAGTATCCCGTAAAGGTTGCAAACAACAATGGCGAAAGAGAACACCCTTGGCGCACTCCCAGCTGCATGGGAAAGCTGCCTGTGTGCTTGTGGTGACGGATTGTGTAGCGGCACTGCTCATTCATGAAGATCCATCACCATCTCGCAAAGCTCAGCAGGAGTGCCCGCCGAATGCAGTGATGCCGCAAGTGCCCAACGCGGTAGAGCATCGGATGCTCTACTGAGGTCCAAGCTTAGAAGCGCACCCCCACTACACCCAGGACTAGTAAACCCTGACCGCCGAGCATGCACAGTGGGCTGCGAGGCCTGTAGTGTAGCTTTGATTCGATCGCAATTTGCACAGACCCGAAGGATAGCTTCGTCAATGGACCTCCCTGGCACATAAGCGAATTGTGGCTTGTCGCTCAGCCAGGGCACGACATACTGGGCAATCTTATCTCTAAGGGTGCAGGCGAGGATCTTAGAACTAGGGTCTTGGAGGCCTAAGGGGCATAAATCCTGGGGTCTACGGGAAGGGCGACCTGGCTTTGCCAACAGCGCTAATTGACAGTCAGTGGTCTCTGCCGGCAGAGGTTGACGCTGCAGTCTACAGTACTGGATATGCATAGTGAGGTATCGGGAGAGAGGGCCAGGGCTAAGCTTCCAGACTTCAGCAAGGGGGCTACCAGCGGGGACGGCCTTATGATTCTTAAGGGTGGTGATTGCATGCTCCACCTCTGCCGCACAGAAGGCCACATCAGCGTGCCTCGTGACATGCCGAAAATCATCATGTCGCGTGAAGGCTGCACTATAGCACTGGTAAATAGCTTGAAATTGCTCCTTTTGCGTAAGGACTTCTCCCGAAGGCGACCTAATGCGAAGAGACTCGTATTTACGCTTAGGGGCCAACTGCTTAACAACCCGGTACACTTCACGCATGTCATGTCGGGCAGCAGCTTCACTGGCACGCGACACTAGGCGATCGATGCGTTCCCGACGCGCAGCCCTGCCGGTCCGACGAACCTCCATCCAAGCCCTCATGAATCTAGTGTACCGTTTCCATGCAGCCATTATCTGTAGAAAAGAGGTTCCTGGCCGACGGGCACGCAATGTGCGGTGGTGCAGCCACATCTGGCTAATGCAGCCTCTCACAGCCGGCGCATCACCTGGTCGCGCGTGCACCGTAGACTGACGCGGAAAGCAACGCGCACACACCCCCAGCAGCCGTCGGTTGAGCTCAGCTATAGGCATGTGAAATGGCGCTCTTTCCGTAACCCACTGCACCTGTGCTTGGAAGTCCTGAAACTGCGCAGTGCCCTGGGTCTGATGCCAGCGCAGATCCTCCTTGGAATACAGGATGGGAGCTGCTCTAGCTTGACCCTGCTGTTCGAGTTTCCAGCCAGCAAGTTTCGGTATCTGACACAGGATCATACGATGTTTGGGTCCTTGGCGCCACGGTGTCAGATCAACTGACGTGGGGCACGCTGCCCTGGCAGCCTGATCGGCAGCACTCCTTCGCACCATGATGAAGTCTATTTGCGACCTCTGCGGGGCGTTCTGGAACGTGACACATTTAGCAGGTCGGTTGCTACTCCAGGTGTTAAGAGCACATAACTGATTAGCGACTATGAGATCTTGAAGCTCCATGTCAACCTTGTCATCCGAACCCTGAAGCAATCCCTTGCCAATCAAGTTTCCATGTGCCCGTAACCCAGCATTGAAATCTCCTCCCAGCACGAAAAGATGACGCTTGGGAATGCTGTTGATGACACGCCCCAGCTGATGCCACACGTGCGTGCGCTGTTCCAAGCGCGTATCACCCTGCACAGAATCACGCACCCACTGATACACATTGACCAGATCAATATTCAGCTGCTGGCATTCAACACGCACCTGTAATACCCTGCCAGGCACCCACTCGCAGAAAGTGCAGTCTTCTGAGCTGGCCAGCCTCTTGGACACTATAATCGCCACCCCAGCGTATCGGCGCGCCGGATCCGGTGACGAGAAAAAGGTCCATCGCGAGTTGCTCCACTGACTTTCGGCGCGACCTAAGCCCCAGTGTGTCTCCTGTAACAGCAGCACGTCCAGATCGGGTTGCCGATCCAGCCACTCGCACAGGACATCATACGCGTCAGAGGTACAGCCCCCCATGTTCCAAGAGCGGACCTGTAACCGCGGCATGGGTGGCCGCGCTGACCGCCGCACCTGCGGATGGCCGCCTATTCCAGATGAAGCTGCATTCGCCTGCTGTGCTAGAGCCTGAAGACTGGCAGCACTATGCATCCGCCCTCTGTAAACTGTCTGGCCATATGTTGCCGCCCGCTGTCGCGCCCTGCGAAAAGCTCGCTTTCTTGCAGAGGAAATGTTAAAAATATTCCCACCATTCGGTTTCGCTCGGAAAGCTCCCGGGCAACGGTTGGTAGATTGCCCAACCCTCAGGTCTGTCATCGCCTTCTGTGCCGCTTCGTTTACCCAGAAAGGCTGTGATGACTGCCGGACTTGGGACCGGCACAGCTGAAATGAACGTACGTCCGTCTGAGCAGCGATAAATGTCTTCAAAAACAGGACAACGATTCCAGTCAAGCAGACCATTGCGCGAACCGTCCTAACTGACCACTCAGGCTCCAGCCGAGACCCTTAGTAGTAGTAGTAGTAGTAGTAGTAGTAGTAGCAGTAGTAGTAGCAGTAGTAGTAGTAGTAGTAGTAGTAGTAGTAGTAGTATAATGAAGTAGTAGCATTCTTCAGCAGCAGTACAACTGCTTGCCGCATCTGTAGACTGGACCATCCCACCGCGCTTGGTGACTCTGGGGCTTCGGAGAGTTGAGCAGCCATCACAAGGATTGGGCTTGCGGGTGCACGTATACCAACAGATCTTAGACTTTTTGGATCATTGGAAAATTTAGCCTGTGGTCCATCCCAAGGATATGTGTGGAAGTGCGCGGCAACATGGACAGGCAGTGCTCCAAAGTATTGTTTGAGCATTTGGGATATACCATGTCGAAATATCATATCGGTTTGCAAATCGATGAGGTTCCTGCAAGAAATGGGATTGGACGAGGAGCTTCGACAAGAGGCTGAACATAGCAACTACGGTGCCTCGCAGCATACAGCCTCAGCATGACATGTTGTCGATGGTGTTTCAAGCAAATGCTGTATTTTGCGTGAAGTTGTTCTCATTGGCATTCGCGAGTTGGGAGTGGAGCGATATCGTGAATTGAAGGATGTCAGCATCTTCTTCCGAATCGATTTTTGTGGTGCTTTGTTGCGAAATTGGACTGGTCAGAAGTCACTGTCCGTGCCAGGTGCTTACCAGCAGCGGCAAACCATAGTGCAGTCGCTTGACTACTGAAGATGCGAATCAGTCTGCGTATTCAGTGGCCACCTGTTCACCAACTCACCCATTCTGAAGTTGCATTGCGAAGGAGCATGGATTCATGCATGTGGCTTGTGAAGTTAAGTCCTGAATGCGTGATCCATGGATACCCTGCCCCGAGAGCCACAAGTCCAGCTCCATTTGCCATTGGCCAAGCGACTCCTTAAGTCTGCGAGAGGCTCGTTTGGTCGATCGATTCGAGCCGACTGCCTGGCACGACATAGTCTTCATTCTTGCAATGCTGCATTCCACAGTATCATGCAGAGGTGACTGGAACTCGCAGCACATGAAGCGCCGAGCGATCGCAAGTCAAGATAAATGAGGTGAGTGGGCGAAAATCTTTAGAAAAATGTCGTTTAAACCTTCGGGCTCGCGACGAAGGGATATCTGTGGGTCTGTCACTCGTGCAGCTGTGATTGCCAATGGCTCCTTCAAGCGCTCGCAATTCGTGTCCCACATGAATGCTTCCAGTATTCAAACTCGCTTGTATTGCATTCAAAGATATAGTCTTGGGTGCCCTCCTCGCTTCCCCCCCTCCATCGAAGGGTCTTTCCTGGATACTATTTGGAATTGGACCGGAGGAAGGGTAGGGATCACTGTGTCCGCTCTCAGGAGTGGCAACAACTTTGAGATAGCCAACGAGTTGAAGGCTTGGAAGTCGACATGGCCATGGGTCAAGATGCTTTGAAGCATGTTTTGACCATCAGGCTCGAGTTGTCAGCGTCTTTAGTGTGGGCGGTGGGGCCTGGTGCCATGACCTTCTGTTTCTTCAGCAGATTTCATCAGACCTTCCTGCGCTGTCAAGGTTCAACCGAGTAGAGACCTGCACGGCAGGCAAGTGAGCGTCTGGGAATGTGTGGGTTCGTCATGTTGTGTGTGTGTGTGTCCACTAGAGCATTGCCCATCCCTATTGCCGAAGTTCCACGATGAGTGGGACCGATGGCCCATGCTGCGACGTCCAGGATGCGGGCTGTTGGCCTTGCAAGCGACCCTCTCCCCTTGAAAACGTGTGGACGAGCTCCAGCCGCTGCTTCGGTTCTGAAACACCTGACAAGCTTGACAGTAGGACCTGCGGGCCCGAAGTACAATCTGCCAGCGGAAACCCCAGTCGGTGGAAGACCGCGAAGACGTACATCTGAGCTAGAGTACTAGCGGCAAGGCCTGCAACGTTCGCGGTTCCGGATCTTGAGTCGGATGGGTTACTTGTCGAGTCTTCTAGACTGCTTCACAAGCGGTTCGCTGCCATCTGCATCCGCCTCCCTCAAAGAGCTGTCCATGACGAAAGGAGGTTCTCGTGTCAGTAATACGTCACCCAAAAAGAGTCTCGCTTTAGGGCAGTGTCCAACGCGTGGTTGTGCCACAACTCGCACAACCTCAGCGAGACGCGACTTCTGACTAGACCCACCGTCGGTAGTGATGGCCGGAGGGATGAAGCAGCACCGCCGTCCCGAAGGCCAAACAAGGTCCGTTCGATGCTCATGATGCTGGCCCCCTTCCGATAATGCTGCTCGCGCTGCCCATGGCCGGATGCCGACACCGTGTTGGGCCGTCCGCTGCACCCAGACTAGCCTTTGGGAAGAATGCATGGGTGCACACACAGGAGCACAAAACGCAAATGTGACACCCAACAACGTCCCAAACCCCAAAACTCCAAAAAGCTTGTTCTAAGGAAGTTAACTTCGGGTGGCGTAGGGCATGTCTTTTGCAAAGGCGACCACCATTACTTAGGCCGTGTGGCCCTGTGCTCGTGTTGTCCTCGCCATCTGTCGCGTTTTTTGGAAAGGGATGCGAACCCGCTTGTTGCGTCTGCCTGCCAACGTTGACGCAAGCCTCACTCAACGCTGATGCAGGTTGACAAATTAAAGGGAGTCAATGAGCCGTTCGAGTGTCGTGATTCCCAGTGCGCCAAGGAGCACGGTATATGCAGTTGCAGTGGCGCAGCGAACTGCGACACCTCTGGTGGGATGCGCTCGCGATGGCTCGCTTGGCTGGGTCAGTAGTCAGGGCGGCCCGGGGCATTGCATCGCCAGGCGCTAGCTCTGCGAAAGATCGAATTCGCGAGCACGCGCACAGGCTGCCTCGCGCCGGCTTTCGGCGACTGCTTCCGCGCCGAGGTTGGTCGCAGGCCGAGGCGGCGCGCCGCATCACGCCCATCGGCCGGGCGCGTGAGGGGCATGCGGGGTGTCAGCAAGAATAGTTTCCAGGAAAACATGCTCTGGCGCAATCGTCTGGTTGTCCGGCGCGGGCACCCCGGAGGTGTTGGAGGCTGCTTGCGAGCACCCGGCACATGCCAGCTCGCGCGAAAACGGGCACAGTTTGTAGCGTCGGCACGGGATGTCGCGTAGGTCGTTGTCGTCAATCTTTTCGAGCGTTGGCAGGCGGCCCCGGTGTGCATCGCAACAAAGACGGAGCGGGACACTGAGGGACCCCTGAAGCCGGGAGTCAAACAACTCCTCGGCGACAAGGCAGTCTTGCCTCACGGATGACTTCTATTTCGTCACCACACCAGCTCATGCCCGACCCGTGCTCGATGATGTCACCCGCACATTACTTCGGCAAGACTCGAGTTCATCGTATGGCATGCGAGGCGTCGCTTGCCCCCAGCGTCCGCCGACCTCTGCGGCCTGCGACAAGGTGTTGCGGGCCTGGCCGGGCCTGGCCGGCCCAATTCCGGGCAGCGCCGTTTGCGAGGCATCCGACTCCGGGCATTCACCGACACTAACACGAGACATCTACAACGGGTTGAGGTGTCACGCGTTGGTGCCATCGGAGTAGCCACCATGCCGAGCACAGTTGAAACTTGTACACAGTATCGCCACGGAGTGTTCGCCGAGCTGGGCTTTCAGACTTGACTATGGTTTTTGCTAGGAAAACATGCCATTGCACAAGACCTCGATCCAGCTTGCACCGTTGATGGCCACGTCAATGTTCATGTGGAAGTCTCTGCACCGCCCGCCGCCAGGGCCGGCAGCGAAGGTTTGCGAACTTCTTGCGGGGTTGGCAACAACGGGGCGACCCTGGCCTGTGACAAGCATGCTTGATCGCCGAGGTCCCAGATCTGCAAGCTGCATGGCTACTTCTGCACTACTGCGCCGCCCCCCAACTTCACAGCCCATTTCGCTGCGGACTGCGATGCCGCTGTTGCGACCTGCCTGTGCTCCCTTTTAATGCGATCAACTGCCAGCCGCCGCAGTACAGGCCTCGCAGCTTGCCCTTGGGTTCGGCGGACTTGGGCTGCGCTCGGCAACTGCCGACCGCTGTGCCGCCTCCACTGCACACTGCCCGCAATGCGTGCTGGCTCCCCGCAGATCGCCACCAACCTCCTGCACGCGCTCTGACCCCTTCGCTGCTCCAGGCCACCCCGCTTGGGATGCCCCAGAGCCGCGGAGCCTAGCACACCAGGCTGGGCCACACGCCGCCTGCTGCGGTACAAACAGCCATGCTCACGAAGGAGTCACAGTTCCGGGTGCTGCAGTCGTTGGGCGAGCTTCGCGGCGATGAAGTCGCGGCTGCCAACGGGGCTGCCCAGCACCACCATGTGCACGCCTTGCTCGGCAGCTGGGAGGGCCCAGTTCCCCGTCCAGCACGGGTTCTCGGGGCCCCGTGGGGGGAGCACCTCGAGGAGTCCCGGGGGTTCCTCCCCCACGCTGTTCCACGCGCGTGTCTTACCGAGGTGCACCTGGATGTTGGCATGTCGCGCGAGGGCCTCGCGCACGATGGCGAACTGGCCGACCGGGTGATACCGTGTGCTCAGGGGGTCCCGTGACGTAGATATCGTCGAGGAACGCATATGAACGCATAAATAGTGTTCGACGGGTGAAGTCGAGCTCTGGTCTCGAGCAGCGCTTGATGTTGGCATATGTTGGCCTAGGGCGAACAACGACGGCATCAATGGGTCGCCCTGCTCTCCTCCTTCGCCTTGTTGCACGTCGTGCGCGTGGCCTTCCGCGTCATAAAAGATGTACGTGCTCGGCGAGCCGTAGAAGAGTGCAGCGTACGGGAGGAGGCCGGCCAGCGCAGGTCGGTCCGCCAAGGCTGACAGCATGCTCTGTTGAGAGAGTGGTCGTAGGCGCCCACGCCGTCGACACTCAGGATGGTGGTCCGTGGGTCGTTCTCCGTGGACGCGCGTATCGCCCGCACCAGGGCTTCCGCGCCTGCCTTGGTGCTGAGGGCGTACTGGAAGGGCGCGCAGGCGCTCTGGAACGTGAAGCTGCTGCGCGAGCGTGCCGCACTCCCCCGCCCGGCAAGCCGCCCCTAGCGGATGGACCGCGGCGCCGCCACCACACACAGAGCCCGGGCCGCGTAACTCTTGGCTGTTCGTGCCTTTGATCCACGCAGGGGCCGGTCTCCTGAGCCACGCAGCCCAACGAACGTGGAGCGCCGCGCGAGTGGGTGGTGCCCGGTTCGACGAAATCGCCGCGGCTCTCCGGGAATCTGCGCCGCAACAGCCAGCGCTATTACTGCGCGCGCTGCGGACACTTCTCGCATGCGAAGCACGTGACGATGCCCTCAGCGCACACAACCCACGCGACCTCGCGATGGCCGCCGAACTCGAGGCCCTTCCCGCAGCCTCGTTGCCCCTGGCGGCCGCAGTCTCGCTCTGCATGGGTCGAGACTGGCGTTGGCACAATCCGCACTGCTTCAAACCTACGGGGGAGTCTGCGTGGCCACGGCAGCACAGTCCCTTGCCGACGATGCCCGAACCTTACTGCATCGACCGGAGCCCCTCGAAGCGCCAGCTCGAAGCCGTCACAGCGCCCCGCATGATGCAGACTGACGCGGGGGCACACTGCAGCGCGTCCGCCGCCCCTTCGGACGATTTTGGCCGATGTCGCGGCGGATCATGCGCGCGCGAATGACCGGCATCGCCGCAGAAATAGGGCTCGCGGCCACCGAAGCGGAGGTCGTCGAGGCCGCGGAGCCCCGGCGCACGACCCGCCACAAGCCGAGGACGATGAGGACGTGGCCCCCCCATCGCCACCGCCTCTCGCGAGCCGCGCGCCCCCTTTGCACACACACACACCTTGATGCCTTGCAGGCCCTGGACATCCCTGGACCTCGAAGTCGAACTCCGCAACCGCGTGTACACTTTCCAGTCGGCCCCCCGTCACCAGGTGCCCCCAGCAGAGCTGCGCCGGCGAGAAAACTTTCCTGGCCGGGCACCGCGGCGCAGCAACAACCGGCACGCAGGGCCGTGCCACGATCACGCAGGGGGACGAAGAAGAGGACGACCTACGCCGCCGTGCCGAGCGAGCCGGTGCTAACCCGCGAAACGTTGCGGGGTGGTCCCGGCCGTCGGCCGCAAATGGGGTATTCGAGGAGCTCAGGTGTGTCGGCCATGGCAAAAGAACAAGGCGGGAGGGTGGGAACCGGGACGGCTGCGGCATGTGGGGCATGGGGACGCAAGAGGGTGAGTCAGTAAGAACCCTTTGCGAGCCTCAGATTAATGTCTCAGTCTGGCATATGCCTTCGGCGGGTGTCGGCGACACTCGCCCGTTTGCGTGGTCTGTGATGAGCGCTTGCGGGCGTCGCCGTAAGCGCGGTGCCGCAGCGGGCGCGATGCTTGGGCGTGTGTGGGCTGCCGGTGGCGGTGGTGGCGGTTCTGTCGCTAGTGCTTCCCGCAGCAACCGGCAGAGCAACTCCTCGGCCGGGGCCACCGCTTGCGTCGCGAGAGCTTGTAACTCCGCAGGTCCGCCTGCCACGCAAGCCAGGACGTGCTCCGCGGCCTTGCGCCAAGGGGAAGGATGCGTCGCTGACGGCGCCATGCGTTGGTGCGGCAGACCGAAAAGCAAGATACCAGCGGCCAGTGCGCCCAGCGCCACCCCAAGGCCAAACTACCCCCACGATAAGCACCTGGGACCCCAGCCAGCAGGGTAGTAGGTTGGCGCGCCGCCTGCGCAGGTCAGGGCCGCGTGGGCCAACGCCTCCCTGCAGGTGGGGGGCAGTTGAGACAGGGTCGGCACTGCCCGGCGAGCTTCCTGCACGGCCCAGCTGAGCAGGCTCCATCCGCCGGTCCGCCAGAGTGCCATGCGGTGGCATTGAGAATGGGGGGAGAAGCCGCCTGAACGCGTCCCCCATGACCAAGGCTCGTACGACGCCTGAAGGTTTTGTAAGCGCCACCATGTGTCCGAGTCGAACTGCCGGGACGACAGCCTCCGGGACCTTCTGCGCGGGCCAATTTGCTCGCTGCCGCAGCCAGTAGCTGCGTGCATTCTTCGTCGTCCAGCAGGACGCGCAAGTGTTCACTGGTATTCAGTGGTGCAACCAGACGGGCCGGGGGTGGCGCCTTTGCGTGCCCGGCGAGCATTGGCGATGAGTTCAACGGGCCCAGTCGCGGCTCGACCGGACCTGAGGCTCGGGCGGGCGACGTGCCGGGTCTCGTCGCCGCAGCATCGACGCCGCGAAAGCCGGAGCCGGAGCCCTATCTCGGAGACCCCGGCTCCGGGCCACAGCGGCCGCATCGACATCGAGAAGGGCAAGGGCAAGGGCAAGGGCAAGGGCAAGCGCAGGGAGAAGGGCAAAGGCAAGGGCGGCGGGCCTCCACCACGCCGAAGCAGCCGCGACGCATCGACGACAGCAGTGGTGCGCGAGGTTGCCGCCGCTGAAGCCGCGGCCAGGGCAGTCCAAGACCGCTTGTGAGACAGCGCAGGCGGCCTTTGAACTGCGACGCCTCTCGGCAGTGGAGTTTTTAATTAACGGGACTCTCCGGAGAGCCGCTGATGAGAGCCCCAGCGTGCGGGGCAGATGCAAAAAGAAGCTCCCAATTGTGTGTGCTTGCATGGGTCATTAGAGGGCAAGTACTAATTACGCTGACGGACGAGGTGGCACGATGGCTTGCCAGGTACTTGCGACGCGGACTCGTCGTTCGGCCTCGTGCGTGCCGCACCTCGCCGCCGAGCCGCTCGAAGGCAAGAGAGGCCAAGTGCTCCTGCCTCACCCCACCCTGGGCCTGGGACGCCGCATCGGCGAAGCCGCCCACCCGGGCCCACCAAGCCATCAGCACGACCACAGGCCGAGCCCAGCGCGAGCTGACAGAGCCCGCGCACTGGAACCGCATGACGAAGCATCAGGGCATTTTAAGGCTGAAGCTCTCCGGGGCGCAGTGCTTGTGTTGGCTGGGTGGGCTGGTGCTGGAGAGGGTGTGGACTCCGAAGCGGCACTAAGAGTCGTGGGCGAGTCGAGGAGCACCCCTCTTTCCCGCACAAAGTGGCGCTGGGGCGGCAGTGCTGTTACGTATCGGACGTATCGGTGGGTCGACATGTCCTTGGGTGATATGCCATCTTTCGTTGCGAAGACAACGGCGACGATGATAACGACGATTTTTCTACGGCTACCGCTGGGTGCGGCATGTATGTATCCGTCAGAGGTGGATGGAATGCTGGTTGAATGGTGTTGCGATCTTGCATCGTACAATGTATATGCCAGCTTTTCACACCTATAACATGCATCGAAAGCTCGTTTGGACATGTTGGACACCATGCATGGGGTCACGGGCATGAGGGCGTCCAATGTATATGTGAGGAATTCCACGGATACCACAAGCGTTGACAGCTCGCTTGACCAGGGATGTGCCTCTGTGCCGTTTATTGCTGCTGCAGCCTAGTATGCTTGTGATACTGCTTTATTGGACCTGCTTGGGGGGGGGTCGCCTCGGTGCTGAAACACCGTTCCCTTGGCACACGGCGCGCGCCTTTGGGGTCACCCGCGTGTGTGTGTGTGTGTGTCTGTGTGTCTGTGTGTGTGTGTGTGCGTGCGTGCGTGCCTTCTGTGCATGGAGCATCGCTCCCTCGGCACTGGCCGCACGCTTCGGCCTCTTGATGCTGTCTGCCAACTACAGGATACTACAGGGGGATCGCTTTATCTCGCATTGCTGGGTTGAAATACGCATCGCTGAGCGTCCACACTCGGGAACCCGCTTCCAAAGAATCACTTCTATTCGTGAAAGATCAGATGGTTCCACGTGGAATCGAGCATCTAGATGGGGAAAGCTGGTTTTGATGTGCTGTCATGCCATTGATGTGCGTCTCGAGAGGGCGCTTGTGGAAT